AAGCACCGGCCACTATAAGGCCGGCCCGACTGCGACACAGCCCGTCCCCTCCGCCACTCCCTTCGTGCTTCGCTGTCTCCCGCGCGGTAAGTCCAGGGCAGCCCCGACTTCCTCTCGGGCAGGTCGTGCCCCGCGCCCGCCCAGACGGGGCAGGTTCGGCCGGCGGCGTCTGAGTCCGCCCGCCCCAGTCTGCAGAGCTCCCGGGCGGGACCGAGAGTCATTAGTGCCAGGCTCCGCCACGCGGGCCCGGGGCTAAGGCTTTCCCACGGGGCGGCCCCCCAGATGCGCTGTTCTGGGGTGCAGGAGGGTGTGTGCTGGGTGTGTCCTGTTACAGTGCCTAGGCTGTGTGTGCAGCCTCCGTCCCCGCCCCTGTCCCATCGTACTCCCCGACTTTTGAAACCCTGGAGGACAGTTCTCAACCATGCCCAAAGCCTCGGGCCCTACCACCTCCACCTTGCCTCCTTAGCTCTGGTCCCCCTCAGGCCCTAGGCTGCTTCGTCCTTCCCCTGCAGGCCCTGGGCAGTCCCTTGGGGGCATGTGGTTCGGCAGTGGTGGGTGGGGGGTCAGAGCTGGTGTATGAGGGAGTGAGCAGTATTTGCTGCGGGTGCACTGACCATCCCCTGTGCTGTCAGCTCCAGGCCCAGCCCTCAGCCATGGCATCCCCGGCCCCCCTGGATCAGGCCATTGGCCTTCTTGTGGCCATCTTCCACCAGTACTCTGGCAGGGAGGGTGACAAGAACACCCTGAGTAAGAAGGAGCTGAAGGAGCTGATCCAAAAGGAGCTCACCATTGGCCCGGTGAGTAGCCTCTCCCCTCTTCTTGCCTTTTAGAAGCAGGACTAGGAGGGGGGGCGCTGCCAGGTGCCTCTGACTCACACGGATCACTTACCCACATTCTGGGGCCTTGCCTCACACACTTTAGGGGCCAGCAGATCGCTTCCCTGGGGGTGGGGATGCCCTTCTCTGCTAGTCGGTCCTTGAGTGAGGCGCAGCATCAAGGTGAACCCAGGTGGGCACTGGGCCTTGGTGACAGGTGAGCACAGAGACATTGTATTGGAGAGGGCTTCCTGGCCTCCCAGGAGAGGATCCAGGGTTCTCCTCACTGCTACAGTCTAGATCTCCTGTTCTAACACATTAGAAACTGCAGGATGCAGAAATTGCAAAGCTGATGGACGACTTGGACCGGAACAAGGACCAGGAAGTGAACTTCCAGGAGTACGTCACATTTCTGGGGGCCTTGGCTTTGATCTACAATGATGCCCTCAAGTGCTAAAGACAAATTGGGAAGGTGGAGACCCCTCCTAAGGGCCTGAGTCAAATCCAGTGGTGGGTAATTGCATGATACAATAAATATTTTTATTCAAATCTACCCTTGTGTTCAGCTTCCCAATGATTTCTGATTTCGTCTCTGCCTGGTGCCATGTTGGCCATCAAAAGACTTACTCAGGCACCAGCGAATGGTGTATTGGTTATGTTGCTGAATTCCCATGTAGCTGACCATGGTTCAAGTCCCAGATCCTGTGGCTTAAAACTCATGCCAGCAGCACGTGTGTACCCAAGATCCTGAGAGGAGAATGGAGCGGAAGGGATTGCAGCATGGTCATTCCTCCTGGGGTGTGATTTCTCACTTTCTGTCTCTCCACCTAGCGCATGCGCCCTACAGCAAAATCTCTCAAAAAAAAAGCATGCGCCCTACAGCAAAATCTCTCAAAAAATTTTTTTTTTTTTTACTCATTCAGTCTCTGAGAGTGACTCATTGGCTCCCAGGCTAGGGACCCCATGACAAGGCCGCTGCTAGCTCATTAAGTGCCTTTGTGTGAATTAGAAAAGGTGCTCCCTCTTGGCAAGGTCATCTTCTCAGGTGGTCTCCACAGAGAGGGTTTTGGGATGAGCTTGGGCTGGTCTGTGAGGCAGTCTGGGGTCCCTAGAAGTGGGGCAGAAATAGTCTTGCAGGATCCTAGATGTTTTAGCTTGGGTGTGGTGAGTGGGGCCTGGCAGTGGGGCTGCTCCTCTTATCAGTGGAGTCAGGCAGAGGGCACATGTGAGATGCCTTGGGTCTGGCCCAGGGGAGTTTCCTGAAAGCAGTGAGAATGCTGCACGGCTGGCTTTATGGGGCTGCCCACGTCCCAGGTGGAGGTGGCATTTAGGAGTCTGTTAATGCATTTGGGAACTACGTCCTGCCTTGGAGGAGGTGTTCTCAGGAGCTAGCAGCTGCATGAACATGTGAACTATGGGGTGCTTACAAATGGAGAAGTTGGGGATCCCCGGGGCTGGGCCAATGCAGCTTCAAGCCTTTCAGTCAATGTTGATGCAGCCTGTCCTGGCAGCCACAGCGCAATGAGTCATCCTGTTATTCCACTGGAGCCAAGCCTGGTCCTGGGCCCCCATCAGATGACTCACCTAATTACTGTCCTTTGTCTGTTAGTTTTCAGGCAGGAGAGATGGGGTGAAGGGATAAACCGAGTCTCAAAGGGATCGGCATTTGCCTGACAGTCATCCCTCTAAGCCTAGTCGCTGCTGGGTAAGTTCCTCTCTAGGTCCAGGGTCAAAAGATCTCAACCTTAAGAGGAGACCACGTCCTTCTTACCTTCCCGCTTCCCTGAGGGCCCAGCTTTGTGGGATTAAGCTGTCTTCTGTCTCCACCGCGTGGGGACTCCGTGGTAAAGAGCTGACATTGGGACTTCTTGGAGCCCTTCCTTCTCTCATCGCCCGGTCTTCCCCTCAGGGAGCAGCCGCCGCACGGTTAAGCAGCCCCCACCTCTGCGCAGCCACATCCCAGCCTGGGCCCCTTTCGGCTTGGGATGGAAAAGTACGCCTCCTCCCGCCCTCCTGCCGCGGCCCGCTGACCATTTTGGGGGCGCGAAGCCAGCGCCCTCGTGTGGTCAGAGAGCAGGAGTCAGGGTTGGTTTTCTTGACCCCTTTGGGAGGAGCCGACCATTGAGGTTCTGGGGCTGGGGGCCCCAGCTCTGGTCGGCTAAATGGAGGGTGGACTTGGGCGCCTACGCAAAATCCAGGTAGGGGGATCTTTTGGCTCCCAGCTATCACACCCCCCTCCCCCAATAAAGGAACTCAACTTCTGAGAGGAAGGGGGTTTGCGAAGACAAATGCATAACATCTGAACCCGGCTCCTTCCTCCACTATGGGGGGCCTAAAAGTCCTTTCAGACAAAGCACTGCTGCCTTCCGAGGGAGGAGGAGGTTGTTTCAGGAGAGGACCGCGCACTGCAGGGCAGGCTGCTTAGCAAGGCCAGCAGCACAGTTCCTGGGAGCCCCGAGGTGGGTGAGCCCAGGTTAACGAGAATCCAGAATCCACCCGCTCAGTAAACGGGCGTGTCCTTAGCTTCTGCTTCCATACCGGAGTGGGATCAGGAACCCGGATCTAAACGAGAAAAAAAAAACAAAAAACTCCAAACAAATAGCAAATCTTTTTTTAGTTTTAGGGGTATAGTTTTTAGTTTTCTTTGGGAGGGCAGGGAAGGGGAGAAAATCAGCATTGACAATGAAATCTGGTGGGTGCAGCAGTCAGAAGGCTGGGGCTGGGTGTGGAGAGGCACACACACTGGACATTTTTATTGCTCCGATCATTTTAAGGTCGGAATTGAGTCCTTTGAGCTGGTGGTTGAGCCCAGTCTAGGCTTACAGGACAAGGAGAAGCTCTGGTGTGGGCTGCAGAAGTGGCTCTGCCTCCTCCCCTTTCCTTTCTTTAAGGGTC